TCGCCCAAACTGAGAATTCGTGAAACACGATCCGCATGCTGACTACCTTATCGGAAGTTGAACAGTTCCGAAATATTTGGAGTCTTATTTGATAAAACCAGAGTGAAAGCAGATATTTTAGTACCCCATTTCTAATAGGAGCTCTCTCTTAACAGGGTCACGCCCATTTTCTTAGCTGTTGAATTATACACCCAATGATGCCTGCAGATTGAAGTGACCAAAAGTGTAAACGGAAAAGAAATGACAACCTAAAAAATACAGGACAGTTGTACCGATAATCACAGGCGTAGTCGGAACAATGATCTTTCGAAAGACATCAGGAAAAGTGAAAATCTGAAGAAAAATCAAAACAATCCAGATGACAGTATTACTAAAATATTCTTGGATACTGAGGAGGGTGCTGGTATATTGGGGATCAACATTGAATTCTACCAAATAGATAGAAATAATCGAGTAAGACGATCATCTATAGTAGACTTTATAGATAATGCCTTTATTAAGTTCTTTTTCTCAAAGATTCAAGCAAGAATACAAGATATTTGTTTTGGTTGTTTGATGACACATCAATTCCTTATGGGTCATTTAATGCCGAAATTTAAATTTCTTGGGAGATTTAAAGTAATAAAAATATGAAATACATTCTGCTTTCACAATTGAATACATGGTAGATGATACTCAGCTTTTGTGTATATACATGATTGTTTGGACATGAGTACTAGAGGCGGTGATATGTCGGTTTTATTTTATAGTTTTTCTGAAGTTATATTTTGGGACAGCATTTGATTTCTTTGATAAATTGTCGGATATTATTTGCATTAATATCATGAAAGAGTTCTTTCATGTTGGTTGTGTGATTTTGTTTGGCGGCATATCAACATCTCTATGGGTTATTTAATGCCAAAATTTAAATATTCTGAACACAATTTTATGGCTTCAACTACAGATAAAATGTGTTTTTGGTAATTCTGTTATAAAATGTATTGCTGGTCATTTTGCTATAAATATGCATTCTTGGTAATTTTGTGTTTGTTTTTGTTTAGGGGTTCACAATTTTCCCATAGCAGTTGCTATCACCCTAGTTGTACCTGGGAACGGCATCAATTAAGAGGTGGTTCGACGCTTCTCAAATCCTCTAATCTTCTTGCCAAGTATAGTTTATCCTCTTACCCAGGTTTAAGAATACAGGATGAACTGGATATCTGAACACATTGCACGATGGTATTGGGGTTGACAAAAATGCTGAAAATTTGGAAGGATTTGCTGCTGCAGGAAACAATATTGCGTGATTGGCATTTCGATTGTGAAATTTGCGCAAATAATATGACAGCTTGAAAGAAACCGGACTCCATCAGCGATTTTTTCTAACCAATCAGAAAAAAGCCTACCGGTCCAGTCAGGAAGCTGTTTTTGAAAATCTAAAATCTGAAGTCAGACTCGAGGCAAATAAATACGTAGAAAAAAAAATATGAATGTAATTTCAAACTGGAAGTTACCCGACAAACACCTTAAGAAGGCCGGTGGATTCAACGATCAAAACGTTGTGATAATAACGCCAAAGATGAGGACAACAGTTCGAATATAAATAATTCAAACCAGGCTCCTTGTTGTCAACTGGTTATTTTATTACGTGTACTCTTGGACTACGGGGTCGGATTCCGTTTGCGTATAAAACAGCCTCAATTTGATTTGAAGCACTCTTTCGAAATTAGGCTTCAAATTGTTATTATTATTCTATCATTCATTCTTCTGGATTGGTTGGCTGCACATCCAGTATTCGAATCTCGTTGCATCCAGAAGGTGTCCTCTGGGATTGATATCCTGTGAATCTAGAGGCCTCTTTAACAGAAAAATCGCTGTTATGTGCCATGAACCAATCTACCCCTATTTATTTTATCTGTAACACAGTGCGTTGTCCTGCTAGAAATGGACACGGAAGAAGTGGTTCTTCAACATTTTTGAGTCACGCACCCCTTCAGTCAAGGGCCCCTTGAGTCAGGCAGCAATTATAAGAACTAGCCCTTCATAGATAGATAGGTAAGCAGATACTGACAGTCTGATTGGCTTTTCACAAAACTTGTACGTGCATTTATCTATTCTGCACCCCCAAGAACACTGCACACGCATCACTTTTCAGTCAGCCACGTCTAAAAGACATTGTGGTCAATTAATCCTCATCAGTATACGAGAAGATAGTCAAGCCGTGGAAAATAAGAATTATCTCTTGCTCTTATGGAGTGGCAAAATATGGCGGTCGTGCAGAGAATGATGTCACGCGTTTTAAGTGTAAACATGGACCCAACAAGTCAAGAGACGCCTAGCAGTCGGTACTGTAATTACTGGCTGCGTGTGTTTTCTTTCAAGCATTGGTAGATAATTGGTGAGCTGTGGAAGAAAGGTTTATATTCTGTCTATGGTATCCTCAACATCCTTCTGTAGAACCACATTCCTGTTGATTCAGGTCTCGTCTTCATATTTGAGGAAATTGTCCAACATTCATTGCCGTATAGGAGGACAGATATCACATAACAGTTCAATGCTCTTTTCCAACGAAATTTTTCTGTCTCTTGATACTTTGCTTGACTTTTGGAAGGCAACTTTGGCTATCCCAATGCGTCTTCGGATTTCAGTGTTGCACTTTTCGTCCTCTGTTCCCAGATATTTAAATTGTTGTACTTGTTTGATTTTGGCATCCTTAATTTGTAATTTGCATGTTGGTCTGACCCTTTTGCTAACAGCCATGAATTCCGTATTCTTGCAGTTGATGTTTAATCCTTTCTTCTCGATTTTGTTCACTAGCTTCTGTCGGACTTTTTTTTTTTTTGTATTTTTTCTATGTCTGCTATTAACACTGTGTCATCTGCATATCTTATATTGCGAAGATTGTGGCCGCAAATAATGAATCCTGGTAACACTTATAATTCTCTCAGAGTCGGCTCGCTGTATTGGTTGACTAGGTACAATCAGCAGTCGTAAATCGACCTGGCATACATGTAATCCGATCGGCAGCTCTCGAAAACGCTTATAAAGTGTAAATATTACAAAAAAAAACGAATATACTTTTCATACACCCTAATAGTTTTTAACTTCTAAGCCTAGCAGCACTGGAAAACGGTTCACCGACCGCGTTACACACCTGGTGTCGGAACGCAGATAACGACAGCTTCAATAGAGGTTCTTTTTCTTTGTTTGTTGTTTTTCTATCTATTTTTTCGTCCCAGAATTCCAAGTCTTTGGCAAAGTTTACTGACAGCAAAATAGAAATCCCTGTTCTATATTTGGCACAAGACAAGTGAGATTGAAATCAAGAAAGATGAGAACTAAGCGGGGCGGATATTGGAAGTCAAAGATAAGATAAGATTAAATGAATGACAGAAACTGAAAATAATAATAAAAAAAAAAACAGTCCGTTCCCAGAACTAAGAAAAAAATATTTCTGACAACTCCTCGTATTATAAGAAAATAAACACATTTCCTCGAAGAATAACAACAAAGAAAATATATTAGTATTGACAATGACATTTCCCGACGCTAAAGGGAATATATATATATATATATATATATATATATATATATATATATATATATATATATATATATATATATATATATATATATATCAGGATGTCCAAAAGTTCGTGTGCACTTCAAAAAAAATTTATAACTTTATTTGTATTTTGCGATAGAAATAATTTGTAAAAGGATTAGAAAGAAGTAAATCTATATTTTTTAAGGTTTTATTGAAATTTTATTTAAGTTTCCACATGTCCTCCATCATTAGCAATACAAAGGGTAATACGATTTTGCAGTTCACGGAAAACATTTGCCAACTGATTTACAGTAATGCTTGAAATCACATTAGTTATTTTAGCTATACTTAAAACTAGGTACATTAAACTTTATAACATATTTTACAGATTATTTCTATCGCAAATACAAATAGAGTTATAAATTTTTAAAGTGCACACGAAATTTATAGACACCCTGTACACACACACACACACACACACACATATATATTATTTTATATACGCAGCACTTATTGTAAAGTGCTCAATATCAGTAATGGAGCTAACATATTCAGTTGTATGGATATGAGTTTGTAACCCTGGGTTTCACGCTTTTGTGATCAGCAGACGAAGTGGTTTATTTTTAAATAGATCTAATTTCTCAGAGTCGGCTCGCTGTGTAGGTTGATCATCAAAATGGTTTATTTTTTTAAACAAACCAGTTTGATGATCGCTAAAGCATGAAACGCAGTGTTACAAACTCATATCCATACAACTGAATATATATATATATATATATATATATATATATATATATATATTGCTTGTAAACGTTAGTATAGTGATTCAGTTGTTATTCTAGACTGTTATTTTCTTACAGTGAAATTAATAATAACCACACAATTAATTAGGTTATTAATTTGACTCTTTAAGAAACTAAAAAACAGGGATAGCTACTCAAATACGTGTACCCCTAAAAAATAGTGTAAGTAATCAGTAATACTATCATTATATATATATATATATATATATATATATATATATATATATATATATATATATATATATAAAAAAACCTAACCTATCATCAACAATAGCAACACTCCTTCAAAATGTAAATTACCCAGAATCAATACTATTAAGGAACTGTATTCTTGATCAAACTAAACTCATAAATAATTATATTGGTCATACCACTACATACCTATCTCAACGACTCATGTTACACCTATCTGACCAGAGTTCAATAAGGACTCATTTAAATACACACAGAAACCTACACTGCTACATCCGCAATATACTAGCATAAAATAAATAATCTCATCCACATCTAAAAAATTAAGAATAATGGAAACACTAGACATAAAAAAAACAAAAAGCCAACACTCAATAACAGTAAGTATGAACACGGCCACAAAGTGCTGACCTTGTTTCGAAAAAACATTTGTATACCTTTAGGTAAATACATAAAATAATTCAGTTAAAAATTTAAAA